GGACCCCCGCCCCGCGTCATGGTGCTGCTCACCCACCTGCTGGCCTGCGCCTTCGGGACGGGCTCCTGGGTGACCATCAACGGGCTGTGGGTCGAGCTGCCGCTGTTGGTGCGGGTGCTGCCGGAGCAGTGGGACCTGCCCTCCTACATCACCATCATCATCCAGATGGCCAACGTGGGGCCGCTCTTTGTCACCCTCATGCACCGCTTTCGGCCGGGCTTGCTGAAGGAGGTGGCCGTCATCTACGTGATCTTGGCCGTGGGCGTCGTGGCCTCCTTGCTGCTGGCCTTCCTCTGGGACTACACGTCCTCCATCGGCGGGCAGCGGCCAAGACCCCCGCCTTCCTGCTCCTCACTTTCTTCCTGGCACTGGTGGACTGCACCTCCTCCGTCACCTTCCTGCCTTTCATGATGCAGCTGCAGCCCCAGTACCTGAACTCCTTCTTCATCGGCGAAGGGCTCAGTGGGCTCATCCCCGCTCTCATCGCCCTGGGCCAGGGCTCCGGCGTCTCCACCTGTGTCAACAGCTCCCGCATGTCCAACATCACTGTGGGCAACGAGACCGTGGAGATCACCATCTTCGAGATGGTGTCCGACTACCTCCCAGCCAACTTCTCCACCCTTGTCTTCTTCCTCCTCATGGCTGCCATGATGGTGGTTCTTCTTCCTCGCCAGGCAGCCCAAGGTCTGGGAGCTCTCCCAGCAGCATCTCTTCCCCAGCAACATCGTGCTGAGCTCATTTGACCAGTTCTCTGATGATGGAGCTGCGTCTCAGCTGAGGAGGGTCTGCCCATGCCCGAAGGATGCCACGGGGCTTGCGGACATCCCACCGGAGAAGATCTACTACCCGCTGGCCAAGCTCATCTTCATCTACCTCATGATCGCGTGGGTGAGCGCGCTGACGAACGGGGTGCTGCCGTCGGTGCAGTCCTACTCCTGCCTGCCCTACGGCAACACCGCCTACCACCTGGCCGCCACGCTCAGCTCCATGGCCAACCCCCTCGCCTGCATCCTGGCCATGTTCCTGCCCAGCAGGTGG